TGGGCCACTTGGAGGGGAATGGCGAATCGACCTTTTTCGGCACTTCTAGGGCTTGAGCTTGAGAACACTGACTTGATGGAAAAACTACGCCTCTCAGAGGGAAATGCCAATAAAACATATCTGATAGCGTTGAAACTTTGATCAAATATGGTGTATCGATTTAATGTCAATTTGTGTCAGTCAAAAGTTCAGTCAAATGTTTGTGTCAGTTTCCACCCAGAAAAATTTTACATCAATCAGTTAAGTACTGAAGAAGATGTGACCTTTAAAACACAGGTATATCAGGCAAAAACTGTCGTACAAGCCTTCAGGTGGCTCAGAAAGATAGTGCTTGAAGCACTTCCACAAACGATCTGGACCATTGAGAGCACTTTATTTGGTCCATTGGAAGTGGTGGACGCCTTGGATTTTAGCACGAGTCATCATTGGTAAATGTTAGTAACCGTTGATTCCTTTATCCTTTGTACAGTGACAATTGTGGTTATTGTGCGCCTTAAGCCCCCTAAAACCATCTCTAGTAGCGCATAAAATTTGCCACATATTTAAAACTGTGCGAATCCCGACCCGCCAAGTTTTTGATTAATTAATTGAGCACCGAGGGAGATACGATCTCTCAGACACCGGCATGTCGCACCAAATCTACGGCTCAGAATAATGGCACAGAATGGCCCTGAACACGATGATTTGGAGCCCCCCCTACATAGTGGAGAAGCGGGGGCTGCCCACACGCTTCCGCCTACATGTTGGAACAGAGTTGGAGAGCTGCAGGGCGTGAATCTGGCAACTTGCAAATGGTGTAGTTGACAAGCTCAACTATCTCTGCGCAACCTTGAACTTGGACGACATTTGGTCTGACATGCCCGTGTTTGAGGGATGGGATCTCCCTCAGCACTTCGCCAATTGATCCAAAGTTTTGGTGGATTTATACTGATATCAATTTATGTTTGGCCAAAATTTCAACGTTATTGAACGCAATTGCAATTGCGTTCACGGCGCATGTCGAGGAGCCCCATGAGGTGCGTACACACCTGGGCACCTCGTGATCACTTCCACGCTAGTCCCAAGATCGTGCACAAGAAATCACCCTGCGAAGCGGTGCATTGGAAAATGGACGACGATCAAATCATGGAAGGGAGATCATGAAATGCTGAATGTGGGGAAGCATTGTTGTCCATGCACAATGGTCCTTAGAGTTATCATAAGGTTTGTGCTGTGCAAATTAAGACGTATGATTTCTGGTGGGTGCGCGCATACATGAACGCCATGTATCAGTGGCGGTTGAGGTACGCCCCCATCCTCATCGCCGTGTGCAGATGCAAACAGTCTGATGGGCAAGCGTTTTGAAGGCCTTGCCTTTGCATACATTGTATACCGCAATTTGCGAAATTGGAGGAGCTTGCCCTGCGGAAACGAGGATGGGGGATCGAGAGTCACTACACTAAGCTCTTGGGAAGCAGATGGTTTGCGGTGATGGCACGTGCCGGCTGCGCTGTAGGCATTTTGGAAACGTTGGTGGGCTCTCCTGATGAACTTAAATGCATTGGATACCAGGGCGTGGACCATTTGGCGTTTGCTATGTAGTTATATTGCCAGCTGCACTGGAGGGGAAGGGTGTGGCGGGCTAGATAGGGTACCATGCAAGACGCCATCTATATCTGTCTCAACATTCGTGTGAAGAATTGGCGCACGCCCTGTGGCGGACGTGGTATGTTTAATGTGATGGTTTACTATGCACAGTGGCCATGTTTTTTCATTGCTGGGGGCCATTTGACTGGCGATATGTTTTCCCATTCTGGCTGTGTGGGTGCAAAAAGAGAAACGCATCCCAAGGGAAATGGGAGAATGGCATGTGGAATAGGGGCCAGGAAGGTGCCTGTGCTCGCCTACATATTCCGGCACCGTGTATCCTGCGGGGCTTGCTGGATTGTCACGCTTGACTCGGAATAAGACACAAGCGGACTGACAGGCGAATTCTTTTGGCCCGATTCTGGGTCCTCGCCTCGTGTGTTTCCATCTGCTGCAGAGTAATGCGACATGGCATTCTTCGGCTCACCCTGGTGTGTGAGAACTGGCCCATCCCTGCAGCGCAGGAGAAGCCATTGTACATTAAACGTCAAACGCAAACGTAAGACTTGATGGTGTGCACATGCGTTTCGCCACGAACTTGACGCACCCACCATCACCATCACTCATTCTGTCCCGTGACGTCCAGCCAGGAAGCGGGACAGCGGGCGGATGTGACAGGGCCACCGGCCGGAAACGTGCCCTTTCGCCGTCCCATCGCCGCTCTGGCAAGACCTAGAAGAAGCGGGCACTCGCTCCCGCAACGGAAATGAAGGGTCGCCACTTTCCCCTGAAACTCCTGCACCCGCCTGGGGGCCGCCCCCTCGCGGGCCAAGGTGGGTTTGAGCGCCAGCGGCAGCCGGCGGATCGGTTGTTTGGTGGGGCGTGCCACGTGTGGACGCAGCAAGGAGGATCCCCATTTTCAGGTGATGACCTGTATGCGAGGATTCAGGCGGAAGCCGCGCATCGGCTCCGTATTGAACAGACCACGGCGCGGCTTTAACTCAGGGGCGGGGCGCGTGGGTGGTGGGTGGTGGTTGAGGGGTGAGGGTGGCGCGGGGTTGGGAAAGGGGCGGCTGTTGCAGGCTTTGACAATCTCAGAAGAGTGCGCCCACGGCCGCCGCAGGTGCCACCTCCACGTGGCACGGGGCGGCATTGTGCGTTCTCTGAGCGACTTGACGTGCCGTCCCGTGTCGCGCCTCAGCGGGGCTGGCCACCGCCCGCCCAGTGGCCTTGCTGGGCGTCATTTGGCATCACGCACCTCGGTGGTAGCAGCGGCGCGAGCCCGTTGGAGCAGCGGCGGGGAAGCGTCCGCGAGTATGACCACATGCCCGTGCCCATGGCACCAACCCAGAAGTTGCTTCTTCGGCGGCGCGTCGGCGGTTCAGGCCATCGAACGCCCCCCCAGCGCTTCTCTGCCGATCAGCCCCGGGCGCACCGGACGCGCAGGCGATCTGGGGTTTGCGAAGGGCGCGGTGGTGATGCCACAAGACTCGGGGATCGTGTGGCAGTTCCGGGACTTCTCACGCATAAGAACGGCCACCGTCACGCGCCCCCGATTCAGAGCCAGAGTCGGGACTAGGCCTGTCCTGCGGAGGCGGGAGTCGAGCCACCGCTTGGATGGACGACAGCCTATCAGAGCTCGGGAAAGCGCGACCGAGTGTTAGCATCCGGTTTATCCCTCCCTCGGACCAGGAGTCCCACTTTGCAGCGCCATGCTCAGAGGAGGCGCCTTGGGCGCTGAGCTGCCGAGCGGGTGTCCTGTTCGGCGCGGCGTGTGTGTTCGGTAATGCTGAGAGAAAGGATGACATGCGTGCGCCGGGGTGTGCCCTTTGACCACGTGCTCCCATGGCGATTGGGCTGCTGGATGGTGGTCGCAGCGTCGCGCTACATGCACTACATGCGCTGCCGGTGCACCACCTGATCACACCACGTGTCACGGTTGGCACGGCACAGTCAGGTGTGCTGCTGTCCCGGACCACAAGGTTCGCGCCCCATGTCGCGGGACCACTGTCTGTGAGCCAGTTGAGCTGCGGACGCTTCAGGCGACCGCCCCACTACATGTGTCCCCGTTTGGAAGTCGCTGGACGCGCTACACACACCAGCAACGGCGTCCCAGTGCGATTGTGATAGAGTCTTGTACAAAGGGCGGCACCCCCGCGAGCATGGACGCGCCGATGCGGTGTTGTCTACTATCAGCCTGCCTCCTGTCTGCTGTCAGCATGCTGCGCTCTTGCCGGGAGCAGACTTGTTATTTACGAAGTAAACACACAACTCACGATTACGCTTTATGCGAAAAAATAGCACTACGATTGTATGTGCAAACTTGCATGAAGATAGGTAAATACAGGCCTCATGTAAGTAAAGACAGTACATACGGACTAAGGGAGTTCGGGGAGTGGCAGCCAGACGTGCTGGAGTGGGCAGAAAGCGAATCTTTGTTCATCGACGTCATGTCCCTTGCCGCGGGCGAGGTCGACGCTGTGTTGGTGTGCTCGCATGCGATTTGGTCACGGTACTTGGGTGTCTCAAAATGCTGTAAACTACGTGAATATAGCCATAAAATAGCCACTTTTGTGTGTTGCGTTTTTATGTGTAAGAAAAACGTAAATACCAAAGGTGGCAGGCAGCGGATCGACTGAGCTGTGATGATGCAAAAGATCAAAAGAAAGTTAGGCCGCCTCCCTCTGTGGAAGCAACAGTCGCAAATATGCTACGAATGTGTTGTCGCTGAATCATATTACCTGAAGCTGAGGATGAGTGCACTCAGTGCATTCGGTCTCAGTGGTGTTCAGTCTAAGCTTATGCAAGCTTGCAAGCTTAAGCTCATTCTTCACTAGCAAAAAAGGGGCCAAATAACACTTTTGCGAACACACATAAAACACAGTTCATCAAAGTTCTCCACGCTAAGAACACAAAAATAACACAAACCCCCAAACTTTGCACACGTTTGAGCACGTGTTATTTTGGCCCTTTTTTCCTATTGCTTGTGCCGCTTTCTGTAGTGGTGCCAATTCTCTGTTTGTGGCAGTATGTATGAACGTGACCATCGACTTTCGGAGGCAGCCAGGCCGCAGGCGACTAATGTTTGTTGAAGGTAGACGCTGGAAGACGATGGTAGAAAAGTTTTGTTCTAGGGAAGCCTACATGTAGGCAATGCTGTTGAAGCCAGTGTGGCGGCAGAAAGAACTCTAGAGCGTGCTTGATTGCTTTGAGAATTGCGCTGTTCCCATGGAACGCAACGTGGATTGTATCAAGCTGTACGCTCACATGACACACCCACGACTTGTCGTGCTAAATCTGCACAATATATGTCAGACATACAGAACCGCATATGTGCATATATGCATGTATGTATATGTGTGCATATATGCGAATTTCCTTACCTCTGCCAAGAAATGGGGCCGAAATTGATTGTGCCACCGTTTCGCATCAGGATGCCTCACGTTCATGCCCTGAGCCTTGACGCAGAGAGCGCCGAGAGGCCCCTACGGAAGCCAGCGTCGAACCGCACGGTGAGCAACTATCTATCGGACTTGCAACAAGGCACCAACGGCCAGTCTGGCCGCGCCGACGCTCATGGACTGAAGGACGCCATGCACTGCGATGCGGAAGGCCACAGCTTCCGTGAAGAACAGGATTCTGCCGAAGGTGTTCGCATGGGTTGCTGCATTTGCCTTCGTCGAAAGCGATCCCTTCCGTCGTGGCGAGGGCGTCTCCGTCTCATGCGTCGACGCGTGGCCACCTTAAGAGATCAATCGAATACAGCGCCACATCCGTGGCAACCAAAACTGCCTCGGTCCTCACAAGGGGGCTCGCAGGTCGAATCCGCAGACTCTGACCTGTGTGGGCCCAAGTCTAATAATCTAGTCAGGCAGGGGGCGGTCGCGCCAGCACCAGAGGCGCTCGATTTGGACACAGAGAGTCTCAGCGACGACGATTTTTATTCTGTCGAGGACGTCGAAATTGACGAAGACAGTCTTTACACCGATCCTGATGGCACACCGGAGGCAGCCACCCAGAACCCATTGACAAGGGCCAGAGAGGACCTCAGGAGCAGTAGCCTAAAAAAGCGGCTGTCCAGCATGATGAAGAAGTTGTCATTTAGGAGGGACGCTGGCCGAGTGGACCACCTCTTGTTGCATGAGCCGATGGACGATGTGGACTTGAGGTCTGGGCCACCCAGTGCGGACGAGTTTGCTGAAATGCTGCGCTTTGTTGGCACGTGGAAAGCTGACAGAAGCGCCAGTGATGAATACGATGGATTGTGCAAGGTCATGCAGCTGGGCTACGCTTTCAAGAAGGCGCTGGATGCTTCAGACACCATGAAGGTGAATCGTGGTGGCCATAGGGGATTAAGCATTTCTGCAGACGGCAAGCTTGCAACTGAAAGTGCGAAGCAAAACTTGTGTTGCAGCATGCGTGACGTCCAGGGCATGACGTCTGCGCTGCTTTGCTGCGCAATTCTTTCTCATGTCTTACCTCTACTTGCAGGCAGTCCATTGGAATGTCTGCTGCACAGTTTTGCACAGCGTATTGACATGTGTTTTTGTCTTCGCTGGGCTGTTCAGAATTATGTTTGCCCCGTGCCTCCATCAGTAACTACCGTTGCACTTGCGCTATCGGCACATAACCGCTCTTGCTCAATCAGCCACATAACCGCTCTTGCTCAATCAGCCGCCAAGTTGTTCAGCATGGCGCTGCAGATCGAAATCACACAAGAGGAGTTGATCTACACTGGAAAAGTGTTGGGACTCTTCAGTCTTGTGGAGCGGAGGCCATGGTCAGGAGACCAGGTGCCCCATCGGAGAAGGGATCTGCGTCGAGGGCGAGCTCTTGCCTCGGTGAAGCGACGACATCGGATGCTCGTGATGCTGTAAGCTCGCTTCAGATGTTTAGGACTGCACAGTCTTATGCGAGGCACTAATGTATGTTTCGCTTGAAGACGGCATCAGTGCAAAATGTGCCATTATTCAATTTGCTCCCTGAATTTCATGAAACCCTGGTAAAAAAATGGCATATGTATGTGCCGATTATTAGTCATTGCTTAGATCTCAAGCACTGCTTTAAGCGGTGATGAGAGAAACACCTGTGCACGTTAGTTGCACTGGGCCACTCGCTGCTGCAATGCTCGGGCCGAGCAATTCACTGGTGATGCTGAGAACGGTGCCAAGGCTATGAACTCATCTTCCATAGACGTGCGACCTCATACGCTCATGCCATCAAGACACATAAGCCAGGTAATATGAGATCTAATACCATTCATAAAGAGAAGCAAGCCCAGTTGAGCCATTGGCTTCCAGGTGCGGCAACGGATGGGGCAAAGTCTGTCCGTGAGGTGAAGCCTGCAACGCTCCAGCACGTCGTGTTGATTCGTTGTGGAAAATCTGTAGGATTGCCAATGTTCAACGTCGTGAGCACCCTCGTTTTTTTTCTGCCGACAGACTCGAGTGGAAGGATCCCATGGAAGGCAAGATTGTGGAGCACATGCAATTGTCCGAGGATGCCGCATCGTTGGTCCTTCGGGTGGACCTGCGCCGGAAAACAGGCAATGCTTACGGGCAGGAGGTGCATCTCAGGTGCCGTTGCCGACGCAATGCATGTTCTTAGAGTGTCATAAGCAAAAGGTTACTTCCTGCTTTGCTGTTCTAATACGAAAATAACCCACTTCCGTACATATCGGTATACTTCTCTGCCGTGGATATGTGGCACTTAGATAACGCATGGCTCTGATGCACGTTTGAACGAAAATTGGCCTCTTTCACTGGTGTGATTACACTGTTCGCAAACACTGGCTCAGAACACTGTTGAGTGCGGACGCACCATTATTCGTCTTGTGGGGCACCTGCGTCGTCACGAGTTTGGAATTGCATTGACTCTATTTGCGACCCATTGGTGTAACACCCACTCATGCCTTCCACCCAGTCCGCTGCTGCAGCATGATGTCTAAGCACCATTTGCTGTCAGGCAGTTTTCGAACTTCTAGGCAGGGTCTTGGCGCTATTGCTCATGTCCATCTTCAGAGTTTTATTCATATCCGCTCACGAGTGCCTAGACGTCCAACTTGACGCACATATGTACCCATTTGTGCATAGGTTCCACAGTGTGCAATGCACCTTCTAGTAGACTTGAACATGTCTCTTCAAGCCCCCCTTGCACCCCTTTGGACTTGCAGAGAGCAACGCTGTCGTTGAGCGTGCGACGCAGAGTGTGTTTGACACCGAATGCGAGCTATCATACCTTTGAGGGCGCTCGCGCAGTAGCTTTCTTTTCCCAAAACGTCCGCGTCAAGTACCCATGCCGCAGATGGTCCTCATCAAACAGGTTTCGTTTTGCACGTAGTCGTCTGCAAGAATGTAAAGTCCTTCTTGCGGGTGACAGTTGTAAGATTGTGACTCTTTGCGCATGAAGGATCAGCCTGAGCACTGGCGTCGCTCTAGGATCGCCGTTATTCTCACAGGCAAAGGTGCTGGCGCCCATTTCCATGACTGGTGTTTTGTGGCTAGTTTCTCACACTCGCAGCGGTGAAACGCATCCTGATTTGGATCGATTGTGGTTCGAGATGGTGGGAAATCGTCGCTGTGATCCCTTGAGAATGTGTCTTTCCAAACACCTGTATACCGTGATGGTATACATGGTATACATCAAGTACATGCACAATCCTGCAATTGCATTTGCTTGAGACACTGTGGAGCCACAATGTCACTGTTGGACCTGATCGAAGGTACAGTGATTGCCAAGCACTAGAAAAAAAAGCGCAAAATACCACGTGTTCAAATGTGTACAAAGTTTACGGGTTTGGATTGTTTTTGTGTTCTTAGCGTGCAGAACTTTGATGAAATGTGTTTTGCGTGTGTTCGCAAAAGTATCATTTGGTCGTTTTTTCGCTAGTGAAGAAAATATTATAAATATTGTACATGTTTGTGTTTGCGAGTCCTGAGATACGATGCAGAAAGAAGCTGAAAAGTGAATATCGTCCTGATTTATACGGAACCCTCAATTCAACACCCGCAGGGCTATGAATACTATTGAATACCCTTGCTGACCATAAGTTCTTCCTCCTCCCACGCGCATCACGGAATCCACATCATCTCATACAAGGAATACAGATGAGAACTTGAAAGCGTCTCCTAAGGACACCCGCTCACGAAATTTGAGATCAGCTTCGCATGAGTTGATTGCTGACTGCGAGACATGCTATTTCGGTATTCTGCAGTCAGTGATGCGCCATTGCAGCTCCTTGTGCCAAGTCATCTAACCGTTCGGTGTGCATTGCGTTGCGTAGGCTGGTTTTCCGTCGAGTTGGATGAAAAAAAACAAGCTGAGCTGTTCAGTGTCGAACTGAAGTCGACCGCAGCGTCGGGAGTGATGGGCTCCGTTATCACAGTAGTGCACAGGTTTCATCGCAAGAGCGCATATTGATCGCATGAAGTGGCGGCGGATGATATATAAGAAACGATGGATGAATTTCAATGCCGATTGACAGAACTGTTAGTCTCATCGGCTCATGTCTGCTACCTGAATCCTCATTAGGGACAAGCAGCAAAAATGCTGGTGTCTGCTTGGAGATATTTTTTTGCCGGGGGTGCGATGCGGCAGGAGCTCCTGTAGAGCGAGTCATGTACCACACATGTACGTGAAAGGAACGAACCGTGGCGCCACCAACAGAGGGAGAAGAGCTCCATGTAACAACATTTAATGCGAGCAACATGTTGCTTATGCGCGTTGGGACTCACTGGCACTGGTGGGGAAGAGAATTGACAGCGAGAAAGGGAAGAAAGCGTCGCACAGATCTGCAGAAGCCTTCCTTCTCTTCCTGCCTGGAAGGGGCCGTGGCTCGTCTATGGAAGGTTTGCCAGCCGCTCGAGTTGCTGGACGCCGAATGACGATCATCCGCCGACACCCTGACTGCGGACTGCACACTCGAGTGCTGTACATTCCTGCATTCCCTGGAGAGGTCAATAGCTGGCTGCAGCTGAGCTGGTGTTACTTTCAGTCCAGGTGGATTACCCTTTTGCCATCTCAAGCTTCACGTGGTTGGATGATCAGCGCAGTCGCATGACATGCAGTGGCGTGCTGGGCATTCGTACAGGCAATCACGACTCCTCGATTCTCTTACCTGAGCCGACCATTGTGTTGCAGCCTAATCGGTGCATTTTCCATTTGCCGTCATTGGCCATGGAGGAATTTGCCGTCATTAACTATGGAAAGCTACCACGATGTCTGTAGAAATGAGAATCAAATGGGATACTATTGTTGTGCCCAAGTAACATGGTTTTGTGGAGCTTGGAATTATGCACGGGTACAGAAAACTGGTGTGCCGTGTGTTGAAACATGGCTGGCCAAATAATGCCACTGTAGGAGCTGGCGCATTTCTGAATGGCACCGGAGTTCACTTGGTGGCAAGGATGGTGGTGCCCATGCGTGGGTCATATGACGACGCTGTGTACTGCCCTGCCCTGCTTCGGTTGGCGGGGCGGCGCGAAATCTCCCAGTGGGAATTTCTAGGATACCATGGCTACCCTCATGCTGCAGAAGAACACGGGTGCAGCATTTGCATATGTTGGAGCAACCCCACACAGCCAAACAAAGGTTTGCAGATGCTGACGCCCTGCAGGATTTATCGCATTCACATCGGCATCTTTATCATGCTTAACGTAGGAAATTTCCTAAATTATTGTAAATCGTACCACGGGCACAACCCACCGCGAAAAATGCAGAGAAAACATGTGCGGGTCTGCGCACAGTTGTTTTGAGAGCTCTGCTATGTGGAGGAGCGCAATGACGTCACCTGATTTGGGATTGCACGTAATGATTTGTGCCTGTGCACGAACGCCGCCTATTATACCGATATGAGCGATTCCTATCGCCATTACAGCCTATCTCCTTGAGGATGTTTTTTCCCGCGATTTTTCCTATATAGCATATTTCTGGAAGTCGAGACACAACGATACCAAGCGCGGCAATCCATTCCAGAATTTTGAAGGCGATTGTGTCCTTTTTGTCATTTGGCTCCAAAAGACGAGACTCATTTTCTCTTCCACTGCCAGGCCTATGATTTCATCCGTCGAAGACGCTCTTGTATTTTCCGATGTCGCAATGCAACAACACTCTTTGCTTCGGTTCCCGCTCGCCAACTGGTGGGGACACTCCGTTTGATGTATTATCATCGACAATCACTTCTAGAAATCAGGAGCCAATAGACTCACAGATTTTGTTGTGTTTTCCATTAGATTTCAATGAACTGATCACAGACTCTGCTTCGCTCAGGCAAGATAGGAAGCTGACGGCTACCTCATTGCCTTGTTATGTAAGAAATGATGATGATGATGATGATGATGATGATGGTGATGCTGGTGATGATGGTGATTAATTCCTTAATAACTTAACGTTCACAAAACCGAGTCCGCTCTCAGCAGCATAAACATGATGTCAACAGCCTGCGCCACCTTTCGGCGATGTAGATCAGAAGCAAAACGAGCAGATGTCCATGTAGATTGATGATGATGGACTCCGCCTTCCCCTGCTGCAGCATTGTGGGGCGCTCTCAACACACCCCTTGACAACTGGGCATGCCCCGGAAATGACAGCCACATGGCCATAAACCAAACCAGCATTGGGCTCCAGCCCAATGCGTCTAGAGACGCTGACAGCTCGATACGCAGCAACCTCTTGAATTTTTTGACCCCAATTTCGAAATTTCTATTGGCCAGGACACTACCCCCCTCTCCCTCAATCGGGCGACAGGCTGGCCACTATTGGGTCATTCGCCGTTCAGACGTCCGGCAGTCATGAAGGTCGCCAGAGTGGTCGTCACAGTCAACATGCGGCCCATTACGCGAGGCCCATTACACCGCAATCTTCCAGCACCCTTCTCTGGTGAGAGGCGTCGCTACTTGGACGTCATACACATTCCTTTTCATGTTGTCGACAGGCGCCACACCCAATTGCCGAGCCGACACCGTCCCGGGCCCCAAGGAACCATTATGTCCGAGCCTCGCCTACTGTGCTGTGTCCTTGCGCAGCCAGCCAAATGCTAAGATCTGGAGATAGAAAATTCAGTGGCAGCGCAACGATAGATATTCAAGTCCTTGCCAATGTCGTTCCGCTCCCAAGGGGGACCGAGCATAACACTCGCTCCATGCATGTCGACCATGAGTGAAAAGTTGCATTCTAAAGCCCCGACCCAGAAGGCATTGCGCAGCGCCCTTCTCGCTCTGTTCCTGTCAACTGGTAGCCAACCAACGTTTCATTACCAGCGCGGAATCATTCAGCTGAGGATACTCGATCGACGGTTGCCAAATGCGCTTGCTAAACCACGCAGCAAGGCTGAAATCACCGTGTGTATTAGAGCGGAAGCATTGTATCTCCTATGTTTTCAGCCATACCCAAGATTCTCACACGTTGGAACCCACGTTTTGAATCGTTTGAACGTCTTGCATATAGAGCTTAAAGTGCTGACATGACATTGGACCCAACGATGAGCGCGGCGCGTGAAAATTCGATTTCACGGCTCCTCTGCGTGCTTCACAGACATTGCGAAAAGCAATTGAATCTACAGAAACAAGCAAAAAGAGTGCTAAGAAAACAGAAAAATAAGATAACAAATAACTGAAAAATGGAACAAAGAGAGGTTGGTTCCGGGAATTAAGGGATGCAGCAGCCGTGTCTGCGGCACTGGTGTTTCTGTGAAAATTCATTTGTGGGTTACGCATTTGGGAAGCTCGAGTCCGGTGGGAGAGAAAGTGGCCTTCATCTGGCATTGATAATAAACAATCTGAAGGCCACTTCAAACCGCATGTCCAATCATCTGTGCCGTTCTCGCTTGTCATTATCAGTCATCTTTTTGGCTGTTTCATAACGTGTATGAGCAGCTGGAAGCCTGTACTATAGTACAATTTTCTGTTGCTGTGGCATGTAATGGCAGACGACAGTGTCTAATGGTATACATGCAGCATTTCGCGCATTCTAGTCCTTAATCTCCTGATTAAAACAAGAGCGAAGCAGTGCCGAAGCACAAACATGATGGACCCGTTTATCTTCAGGGCCAACAATGCAGTGTTACCGAAGTCAGTGCTGCATTGGATTGCAGACACGCAGTTAATTCAGTTTTAAAGATGGTATTCTAGGTCAATATGTTCTGATAAAAGACTATCATACGACGCAAAACATACTTCCTCTGCCCTATATTAAATGAACCAATAGTTTTCAGCACTACTTTTTCATCGTAAGCTGACTTCTGTTTTCCCTGAAAGTTTACTTACAGCAGTAAGCGTGAGTACAGACTATGCTAGCGAAATTTCAGACGAATCCGCTGAGTGCAACGTAATTGGCGTCAGTTTTTATCTACGTCACTCACTCCCGGAAAACGCCGATAATCCACAGCCTCCGGGAAACCGATCAGACCACACAAATGCTCGATCAGGCCGTTCGGAAGACGCTTTGCCGCTTTCTTGGCCTTGACAATGACCAAGCCGACCTTCAGCCTGTTCGGCGCGGCCAGCTCTTCTAGAGCGGCAGCGCTTCGCCCTCTCGAAGGGGCGGCCCTCACCATACCGGAAAACGCCGGTTTCCCGGAGGCTGTGGATTATCGGGGTTTTCAGGGGGTGAGTGGCGTGGATACAAATTGACACCAATTATGTTATACTTAGCCGACTCATCTGAAATCTTGATAGCGCACACTACACTCATGTGCCTTGATGTGAGCAAATTTTCAGGGAAAAAGGAAGTAGTCTTATGGTGAAAAAGCAATGCTGAAAACTGTTAGGTCATTTTGTCTGGGACAGAGGAAGTAGTTAACAACTCCTGGAAAGATTTTGGCTGATTACCGGCAGAGAACTTCTGCCTATAATGCATGCTAAGTACAATAATATGAAATACCAGTCCAGAAGTAGGGTCATCGGCCCAACGTTCTGCACTTTTAAAAGCCCACTCGCTCGATGGCTGGGATGAGCAGTTGATGTTCTTCGTTCCACAACAATTGTTCTTTGATTGTTGTTTCCATTGCCACCGTCGCTGCTCCCATGCCTGCGTGGCACCGCCCCGAGAGTTTGCACCCTCTGTAGGACCCGGGGAAGCGCTTCCGCGGATCCCCTTTTCACCCGCACGTTCGGATCGCAAAGCCTCCGCTGCGGCCGGATTGGCCAATCGACTCACCGACCTCGGATCACTTTCGACAATCTCGGCTTGCGATTGTCACACCTCGCTCGCTGCAGTCGCGATGGCGGGCTCTGCACCCCAACGCGTGCTCGCGCTCAAGCACGCCCACCGGCCCGGGCGGGACCCACGCCTCCGATCTCCGCAATAACCC